ACTTAACTGTCTCACTTAGTAACAGAAATATTAGGTCAGTTGTGGTTGTAAGTTGAGGACTACCTGTATTCATGTGCAGTAAATTCTCCCTGTCGAATATCAAATTATGTATGTGGGGTTGGTATTTTACAAAAAAAAAAAAACCTAAGGGGAAAAATGACTGAAGTGTGAAATATCTACAATAATAGAAAGATAGCAGATGGCGGTAGCATATTTCTTCTCTGCTACAACTTAGAATCAGTGAGTGAAACTAGCACTCAATTGGGATAAGCAAAAAAAATTAGCTGCTATTAGCTACAATTATCCTCTGAAATTCACTGCTACTAGATTTGGTAATGGCAATACTGATTAAACAGTTTCAAAAGTTCACAGGCATTATTCAGTTCAGCTCCATCTGGATGTCATTGCCTTTTACGTGCAGAATTACAAACATCTCAGTGACTAGCTTGCAATTAATTGATTAGCAAGTTTGCCGAAACATCTTCTTGATTTCAGAGCATGAACAGAATGAAAGAGGAAATTCTCCTCTGTTCATATGATCTCAAATCATTTGTCACAAATATCTGTATCTCTGATTGGGAAGGAGAGGATTTAAAAAAAAAAAATCCAATTGCAAGAAGATACCACAGAGCAAACCTTAAAACAGTCTTTCTTATTTAGGACTTTGGGATAGGAACTCCCATAATCCACAGCCTAACTCATCCAGAAAGTTCTATGCTGGGAAATGTTGTCTTTGGGGTCATCAGTATATCTTGGTTCTCCCTGTCTTGGAATATGTTTTCTGGATCTTAGCCATGAAAAAGATTTAATTATTTTTTTTAAAAAAAATAAAATAAAACCAGTATTTATAAGGATCTGTTATTGGCTAGTCTTATTTGGATTTATTGTAGGAAATCAGCTGTTCTTCCAGTCTATGACTCCATGATTTTCTGATACCTTTCCTTTTTAGAAGTTTGGTGCTCACTTAACGACCAGCAACTGTATTACTAAGAAAAATGGTTGTCAAACAAAACATCACACGACTGGGCTATAAGACTTATAAATTTCTCATAAGGCCATCAGTGTCTCAGCAGTCATTAAGCACAACTTAATATGATCATGATTTGTGACTTATTGCCAGCTTCTCCATCAACTTTGTTTGTCAGAAGCCGGTTGTGAAGCTCGCAAACAGCAATCATAGGATGCTGTAATTGTCCTAACTTTGAGTTGCAAAGTTACTTTTTCAGCATTATTCTAAGTCTGAACAGTCATAAACAGGACAGTTGTTAAATGAGGAGTATGTACATTCCAATCCACAAATAAGTTAGGGTGTAAGAAGGGGGTAACGGTTGCTGGAATTGGGTATGTCTAGTTTAATGAAAAGAAGGACTAGGGGTAACATGATAGCAGTGTTCCAATATCTCAGGGGCTGCCACAAAGAAGAGGGAGTCAAGCTATTCTCCAAAGCGCCTGAAGGCAGGACAAGAAGCAATGGATGGAAACTAATCAAGGAGGGAAGCAACCTAGAACTAAGGAGAATTTCCTAACAGTTAAAACAATTAACCAGTGGAACAGCTTGCCTCCAGAAGTTGTGGGGAGGTTTTTAAGAAGAGGTTGGACAATCATTTGTCTGAAATGGTACAGGGTTTCCTGCCTGAACAAGGGGTTGGACTAGAAGACCTCCAAGGTCCCTTCCAGTTCTGTTATTCTGTAAGGTAGTCACCATATTATGTTGAGTTCATTCACATCTAAATTTGCCAGTATGTTGAATTTCATTTATTTTATTCTTAGCAGTAGTGTGAAATCACTTTGGCTTGTTAGCATGACTATCTCTGTGAAGTTGAGAGGGAGGAGGTGTTAAGCTCACAGGCTATTCAGAAACTATGACCATCGCTTTATCTCTCCATAAGCTCAAAAGACATTGCAGTTAATTAGAAAGAATCTCCATCTGTTTTAAGCAAAGTTTTGCTCCTATCAAAATTTCTGATGATGAGTAAAGTGAGTAAATGCTTTTTTTTTCTGAGTGGAGAGTTAATTTCAATAAATATGTAATTGCCAGTACTTTCCTTCCTAGCTTACCTCATTTTGTTCATAATTGTTCTACTATATCAGGGTGGAGAACCATGGCCCTTCTATGATTTCAATTCCCAGAATTCCTGAGCCAGCCATGCTGAGGGGAAAGGGAGAGGTTTCCAAGCTGAGCCATGCTGGCTCAGGAATTCTGGGAGTTGAAGTCCACGAGTCATAAAAGAGCCAAGGTTGCCTACCCCTGTATCAGACACTTTTTTGTGATATGTAAGCCTTTACAAAGGGTTTCTATTCTTTAAAACTAATAAAAAACATCAAGATTTTGCCACTTCAGTTTGTAAACATTTTCCATTTAATATTGTTGTCCTATCTACAAATTTTCAAAGTTTCCAAATGCCTTTTCTTCAGTTGATGAGTACATTTCTCTCTTATTATTTTTTACATTGATAGGGCCAAAGTAAAAACTTAGTCTATGGGTAAAAGTATTTAGTTCCTGTAAAAGTAAAGTCTGACATTATTTTTTAACCCACCAGATGGGGAAACAGTTTAAAGTATAGGCCACATGGTTAGTGGAAATCTGTACTGCTAAGTGTGAGAATATACTTTTTCATTATTTGGTAAGGCATTTATTTTGCTACTGAATTCTGTTGGCCGTTTAAACAACATCAATTGTACAGTATTATTTGCAGGAAAAGGTCTGGAAGAGATATTTCTTTGCTATTTGAATGTCACTATAATAGAATGGAACATGTTTGCAAATAAATATACTGCAAAAAAAATCTTTAAAATATATGAAAAGTGAATTCCTTTTTATAGGTACAATCGTGCTTACAAATACAGTTAAAGGACTATTTTAATCCAATGCAAGTCCATGATACATTACTTTAAAAGATGCACCTATCAACAGCTATATTTTATTTTTATGTAAGAAGGAGTCCAATCTAGAGCAAGACTTTAATCTACAAAGAAGGCAAAATCTAACTCTTTGCTCTGTTCCTATGTTCTTGATTGAAATCCCACTAAACTGCCACTTATATTACCTTACAGCAGTGTTTCTCAACCTTGACAATTTTAAGGCATGTGGACTTCAACTCCCAGAATTCTGGGAGTTGAAGTCCACATGCCTTAAAATTGTCAAGGTTGAGAAACACTGCCTTACAGTGATCCACTGTTTGGATGAATCATTTTTTGGGCAATGTAAATAAATCCATGGAAATTATAATCTAGAGATCACACTGAGCATTCAAGTTAAAACGTATTAGTTAAAACATATTTCCCTGAATCCAAATTGTAGTAGCAATCCAAAGTGGAGCCTCTATATTATAGATAAAATTAATTATCTCCCGTTTTTATAGAGTGGGGTGCAGGAGAATATGTTTTAACTTTGAATCTCTGATATGGGAAATGTTTGGAGCCATCCATTTTACATTTAGCAAATGAAAAGATCAAGCAGTGATTCATGATTGAGTTTGCTTGTGTGAATATATAACACACATTATATGATTTTATATCTTGGGGGTGATCCTGGATTCATATTTATTGAGAAGTATGACAAGAAAGCCAACTTTCCAAAGACATATTTCAATGTCCCTTGGTGAAAAAACACACCAAAATAGCAAATATTACTTTTGAAGCTTAGTGCTGAACAAAAGTTTATATGTTTCAGGACACACTCAAAACTCTTGAATAGGCAATGTTTCTCTCCCTTGGTTCATATAGGATGAAATTCCCCTTGTCACTGAGACAGAAAATCTTGGAGATATCACAAATATGTGTGGCTTAAATCACAACCTGCTGGCCATTTGAGATAGATTACAGCTGTGATGAATAGAAGATTTATTTAGTGGTGTTTCTGTTGTGTTGCTGATAACATTCCAGGTCGCTTTTTCAAGCAAAATGGAAATCTCTGCAGATGTGTGGTTATCTGACAAATTATCTGTTAATCTTTACATCTGATTTTCAACGCAAACTGGTGTCCGTAGAATGATACAGCCCACTTCCTCTATATGAGGACTGGAGAATTTGCCTCAATATATTGGACAAATCACCATATTTTTAAACCCAAAATTGCTTAACTTAATTGCTCAACTTAATTGCCATCATATCAACTCTCAGAAGATTCAACACCTGTTTATCAATGAGATATTTGTTTCCTTTTAAGACAAAGAATGTTAAAATAAATATACATTTTCCCTCTCATTAATAGAATTTCTTATGCCATCCTACCACAACTAAGATAAAACGTTTTTTTCTTTCTTTCTTTCAACTCTTTCATTTTCCAATATTACTTTCACCATCTTGAGAGATGGTAGAAAGAATATAACCGAAGCTCAAGTGGACAAAATAAAATAGGCTATATAGGGCTAACAAGCAAAGTCTTGTTCATAATACAGAACCGCATGCATAATAATAGCAGTAATATTAATAGCAACACCAAGGAAAGCTTATTCTGAAAATCTGAGTAACTATATCAGAAGAACTGAAGAACATTTCTAGGCAACAAAAGAATAAATCAAAACATTCAGCATAAATATTGTATTGACCCATCTCTGAATCCATACAACGTGAAGGTGGACCCAAACCAATGATGCATTAGCAAAGAAAGGATTATGATGCCACCACAAAGGTCAAAAGGAGTACAATGTTCAAAACATCAAGCCAAAACGGGAGTGGAAAAGTCAGAACAGCTTAAAGAAACACATCAGCCATTTTCTTAAAAGTGTTAACAGATATAATGGTAGAGTAGTAAAACTGGACGTGACAATATTTGCCATGTAGCTTTTTTTCATCATCTCTGGATCTCAGATGACTCCAGTAATAATTCCACACACCTCTACAATTCAGCTTTTTTTTTGTTTTGTTTTGTTTTTTTTTTTGCTTCTAGCTTTGTGTTCCTCTTGTACATTCTGTATTTCATTGGAAAAGTGCAGAATGAGCCTGCGCGGGATGGGAAATAAATAATTCAATGAAAATTGCGAATGGCATAAGGATACAGTCCCTTCCTGGAAAGAGGATTTTATGGCGCACCATTTCTCCCATAATGCATCCTACTGACCATATATCCACTAGAACAGCAGAGATAGGGAAATGAAGAGAGAAAAGGGGAGGGGAGGACAGGAAAAGTTAACTAAAACACTTTGGATCCTATAGGAGGGGGAAAAGAAGAGGTTTTATCAGAGAAAGCACAATTTTATGTACCTTCCACCAAACATTTTTTTTAAAAAATACGGAAACACACACACACACACACACACACAAACAATACCCACCCATGCACAACTACTGTATTTCATAAAAAGAAGCAGCTCAGAGGTCCACCAAGTCAGAAAATATCTGCTTCATCAAAATTCTATTCCTCTTATTGAAAGAATTGCAAATTTAATTTCAAAATCATTGACACTTGGTATTAATGTTCCACTTTCTTATAATGTGTGCCACAGATAAAGACCTTATTTGTTTAGAGATGAAATCTTATCCCCTTTTCTGGGAATAAAGCCTTCTAAATTCATGACGACTTGTTTCAATGTAGACGTGGACAGCATAGCATATGGCTCCAATCATTTCTAACTGACCATATGCAGGGAAAGTCAAACCCAGTAATCTATTTCACCCAGGTCACTCCATTTACACAGCACCAGAAAAGTTGATTTATTCTCATTACATGCTCTTGTTTATTCTCCTGCACAAGGAAATTACAGAATAAATGGATTTGGGACGTGGGGACGAGAAAAGCTAATCATTCCAAAAGGGCTACTTAATAGCATTGGGGAGAATTAAATAAAAACGGGGTCAGTGGTTGCCATGTGGTGAAGATGTAATAAAAATGAATCTTTTATGAGCTCTTGATTCCCGATATATACCCCAGTGGGGCTATGAACTGATTGGGTGGGAGCTTGGCTGTGTTCTGATTGGGTGGAGGTATGTTCTGAATGGTTAGGGGCTTGGCTGTGCTCTGATTGGCTGGGGGAGTGTTCTGTTTGGTTGTGGTCAGGTTAGTCTGAGTTGCAGAGGGGTTTGAGATTTTGGGCTGCCTTGTTATTTTTTGGCTTTGCGTTCGTGGTCGTGCCTCCTCTTCATGGAGGGTGTCAGTTTGCTTCATGTATGGATTGGAGGGGTTTAAAGTGGCTAATGATGCAGCTGTGGTCTGGCTTCTGGTTTGTGGTCGTGCCTCATCATCGGTGTGGCTTTGGGTTTGCTTTTTGCGTGGATGTGTGGTGGTGACATCCTGTGTGGTTTTTGTGAGTGTGGGTCTGGTATCATTTTTTGTGTTAGGGAGTCGTTTGTCAATAAGGGCGGGTTTCCAAATGGCTGGTAGGCGGGAGGTATCATCTCGCTTGTTCATGCTGTGTGGGCGTTTTTCTATCTCGATGGCTTCTCTGATTATTCTGTTATTAAAATGTTCACTTTTGGCAATGGTTCTGGTATTTTTAAAGTCAATTTCATGTATATATATATATACACACATGAGACAATATATTGAAGAGTCTTGCAATATATTGTCCTAAGTCCTTTTTTTCTGTGCAATTGCAAGACTCTTCAGAGCACTCATTCTTTTAGCACAGTGCCACTTGCTAAGAATGCCTATAAATTACAGTATACAGTACAGCCAACAGGTTATAATCAATCTTGTTCCTTCTCACCCCTTTTTATTGTCTCTCAGAATGATGGCTATAGAGGAATAAGCCACAATATGTGGCCTTTCAGTTTTATGTATCCATGAAAGAGCAAAAAGTTGTGGTTGGGTGCTGATGAATTGCTTTAAAAATGTTTGTGGTGGTTCTTTGATCACAACAGAGAGGACCTACAAAGTCGATAATAAATGGATAGAGAGAGATTTATAGAAAATATAATCTTTAGATCTGCTTTGCAGGTTCCTTCCATGAGTGGTAAGTAATTAGCAAGTAGTCCTTGGGAATGAACAGAGACAGAAGGCAAAGCAATCATAATCTTCTTCCTGTCACACACAAAATCAGTGATACTGCATACTTTTAGTCATTAAGAAAACTGGCACTCCTCAAAATGTTCAGCTGAAGACTAACTGAAGAGATATTCCATCATAGGCCATTGATTTAAGCTGAAATGACTAGCTACAAGATAAATGCAGAAGCAACTTTTGCTATGGGTACTTTCTTAGGTAACGTTATCATGAGAAACAGAGTTTAATTAAGAGCCTCATATTATTATAATTTTCATTAATAGTTGCTCTAACTAAGTCCCAAGTCCATAATTACAAAATAAAAATATAGGGGCCAGGAAGTTAGACCAGACTTGGCAGACAAGGAAAGAATTGCCCATGATCCAGTTTAATGAAATTTAAAGAATATATGAAATATGATGGAATATTCATCTTTCTCTCTCAAAAAAGCCTTACATCTGTATATTTAGCAGTGATAGGACTACATAGGGGAAGTGTGTGATATATGGTACCTACCACATTCCTCAAGAAAGACATGATTTCCATTTTGAGTCAGTTTTAGGTAACCCAAACTGGTGTCAGCAGTTTTGGTTCCAACTGAAACTAGGATTTCCTATCACTATCAAGCCTCCTTGCCATTCTTATCTTAACATGGTTTACCTTTGAAAATTATATCTGGTTAAAGGCATTGCCAGTATGGAATTGAGCCCCAACCAACATTATTTTTAAATTATAGAGCACAGCTGTCAAACTCAATCGTTTTATCACATTTTTTGCCTTTGCAGAGATGGGGTGGGCGTGGGCTGTGTGCATGATGCATCTAGCCCGTGGGCCACCAGTTTGTTATAGATGATGATGAGGATGACGATGATGATTTTATAGAGCAGGGGTCTCCAAACTTGGCAACTTTAAGGCTTACGGACTTCAAGCTGCTAGAATTCCTCATTCAGCAATGCTGATTGCCAAGTTTGGAGATCCCTGTTATAGAGGGTCATTATACAAATACCTCTTACAACCTGGAGATATAACATGATTTTTCTCAACATAGGATAGTCATAGATTCTTTTGCCTATTAACTGTATCCTATCCTGGTTGTCTACTTTTCTCTCTAAAGGGGAGAAAATTTCAAATGAATGCTGGGTACTGGCAGAATCCAGGTGTCAGGAGTTGGAGAGTCCTGTCAACTTGCAGATGTCACTTTTTCCCAGTTATAAGTAACAATGTGTGTGTTGTTGTTGTTGTTTATTACAGGTGCACACAACATAATATTCAGGCTGAAATCCAACCATTTTAGCAATATGAACCCACCATGAAAAAGGGCTAACATTTTATCCAGTATCATCCATGGTATACCTAGTGATTATTTTGTAATTCTCTTTGAATCTTTTTTTTTTTGCCTCCTCTCTTTTTTTCTACCCTTGACAAAGAAACAAAAACAAAATACTGTGGACCCAAGCAATTCTTTTTATTAACCAAAACAAATACTATATAAAATGTTTCATTTAGGGGACAAGATGGACAGGTCTGAAAATGCAAGTCCAATATATTGGACCAGTATTTTAAAGAGAACTGTAATTTAGGAATCTTGGGAACAGGATGTAAGCAAACAAGGGTAAAATATATTATTCATAAACTTGGATTGAGAGAAAAATGAAAGCATGGAATGGCCAAAAAAGGCAAGTAGCACAATGGATGGTCATTAATTTAAAATAAAAGACTTTCTTTCCATAAATTTAAGATGATTTCCTGATATTTTAAATCTAGAAGGAAAATTAAAAATAAAACCTCTTTCTCTTCTTTTTTACAATGGTTCTATTATATTTACAATGTTCCGGGAATCCAAAACCTGAAATTAATTTCTCACATCACAATAGTCTATAGCTCCATTTATAGATGTCCCTTCTCACTTGGCTTTCACCAAGTGGCAAAATTATTGGATTGTTCATTGCACAATATCATAATCTAGTTTGCCTATGTGAAATATATCAATTAATTTTAGCTATCAAAGGAATGACATAAGGAGCCTGATCATGGATTTCATGAGAAAGTTCTACTAGATGTTTCAGTTCAGAGGGGTGTCTGAATTCAATTCAGTGGAAAGGGAAGATCAACTTGAATGGAAGATGGCATCACACTTGTGCACTTTTGTAGTTTTCCATGATTGCCAATGATTATTTGGCCTTTTGTCTGATCCACTGTAGATTTTCTATAATAATTATGTTCTTATGTACCCTATCCACAGAAATCTAATTTAATAAGCCCTGTGCTTCATTAGAGCTTATGATCTAAATCAAAACCAACACCTGAAACTTTTTCCCAGTTGGCTGTTACAAAACGTCTAAATAAGAAGATTTCCAAAGCATCTCGCCCTTTATTATTATTATTATTTTTAAAAATATATTTTTTAAAAAAAAATCTAAGCTGGTGAGTACTACTTGATAACTAACTACAATTAGAATTATTTTTAGGACAACTGTCAGTTTGAAATAGCAAATACAAGGTGTACTTTAAAAGTAGTACTTTGAATTTTTATCAGATTTAATCAGCAGAGAAATCAGGTTAAAAATCAGCTACTAAATGTCAGCTTATAGATTGCAGTCAGATGTCAGTGAAAAGAGCTGCAGCATGCTAATTGGATTCCCCAACTTAAAATGGAAGACTTTCAAAGATGCAGAATTTCCTCATTACATTTAACACACACACAAGATACTAAACAATTAAAATTGTTTAGCAAAATAGCAATCTAATGAATGTATTTCTGTTGTTTTCTTATTTGAAGTTTTGATTGATGTCATTTATGCAATCATATCATAATAATGTACTGTTAGTACAGATTTTTTTTAAGCACACAAATGCTTGATAAGATAACATGAATTGAGCACAACAAAATAATCATCTTCTCTTGTTAGCAGGTCATTTGGGCTAGAAAAGTTTCCTCCCCAACTCTATCCACCCTTAAAAAAAAAAAAAAGCACTACACAACATGATATAGTAGGGTACAATTTTTATATCAGTATCTTCTCTACTCACCTAGGGCCCTAAATATAAGAACTACATTCATTATATAGTAGCATCAAAATGGACCCATCCAAGGTGATGCATTTTTATGATAATGGGAGGGTTTCAGCAGGTTTTCTACCACTGAGCTGATAAACCAGGGGTTCTCAACCTTGGCAACTTTAAGACTTGTGGACTTCAACTCCCAGAATTCCTCAGCCAACAAAGCTGGCTGAGGAATTCTGGGAGTTGAAGTCCACAGGTCTTAAAGTTGCCAAGGTTGAGAACCCCTGTGATAAACATTTAGCTCAAACACTGCTCCAGAAGAAGCATTACAAAAATGGCTTTGCTGTTGCTCTGACCTTAATAAACTTTCTCCTTCTAGATCGGGGTGGGCAACGATGGTCCCCTTGTGGATTTCAACTCTCAAAATTCCTGAGCCAGCATGAAACTTTCTACTAGAAAGAAGTGGGGAGGGAAGGAGTCGCAGATAAAAAAAAAACCCAACTGTCTCAGCAAAGCCATCATGTTCTTTGCTTGCTTTGGACTACATTATAGTTAGGCCTGAAGGCTCCATACCTCTGCAGAGTTTGGAAAACATAGTCAATGAGGGCCAGTTTAGAGAGGGGAAGGATTAATAAAGACTGTGTTTTGAATTCAGTAAAGATTAAAAGACCAGAAATGTGGCAGAGACAAAGTCTGCTCCTTTGCTCTAACATGAGGACATTTTCATATTGTCTTTGGGCTTTCCCTCTTACTCTCTGCAGCAATTTTGTGCCATCACAAGGTCTGTGACCTTGCTGCTGTTTCCTGAAGTCGAGAAAGTAGAGATTACAGCTTAATTCCCCCTTGCTCCCGTCCTTATCCTTTCTTCACTGTTTCCTTCTGCAGCAATGAAAAATCACTATGTGGATAAATACATAAAACTTGTTTTTCTTTTAAAAATGAGGGGAATGTTATATCAAGATGCTATGGTATTTTTGCTAGGGAAAAAAAGAAAATGAAAGAGTAGGAATTTCTGCCATCAGTAACAAGCCTATTTTGCATTTAAGAATAAATCCTGTAAAACTGCAAAAAAATAATAATAATCTTCAGGCTTAGCAGCTAACAGGAAGCTAACCCTCTCAGCTGCTGAAGAGCTCAGCTGCTGACAGCACTGTAGGCACATCTGGATATAGCACTTAATGTATGTAAAAGGGCTATATACAGTGGTGGGATTCAGCCGGTTCGTACCACTTTGGCAGAATTGGTAGCTAATTTTTTGTTGCCCAGGCCCAGAATGGATTTCCGGAAGCGGCATCCACACAGAGAACCGGTTGTTCACATATTTGAATCCCACCACTGGTTATATATCTATCTAAATTAGTTCTTTATATCTCAGTTGGGCATATATTGTATATTGTATAGTACTGTATATGCCGGCGTATAAGGCGACTTCTGTGAGCGCTAAAATCGGCGCCAAAGACGGGGGTCATCTTATACACCGAGTCGCCTTATACGCTGGAAATACTGGTAGTTTCCAGCGTATAAGACGACGTTCTAGGAATGCGGCTCGGCGATAAAGACGGGGGTCGTCTTATTCACCGGGTCGCCTTGTATGCCGGCATATACGGTATTATAACAATGTTTTGGGTGGCATCCAATGTTATTTCTTAATTGCCTCGTGATCTGTACCTTACTCTTATCTTTAGTAACTCTTCTTGTAGTAATTTAGCAGATAATTCAATGAACCTCTTATTTCTACTTTCAAAAGGACAACTAAGATGGCCAGTGATTATGGCTTTTAATACTAGACTGGCAAATTTTCCCCTACAGTCAATTGAATCTAGATTGATGGTATTGCAATCCTTTATTTGTGTAGATAGCAAGGTTGGGTTTTTTTCCCCGCATGTTGGCTTCATCAAATGACATGTGCAGAGTCAGGTCCTATCCAGATTTGTTTTCCTCCTCCCTTCCCTCCACTCCCCAGACAATTGACAGTCCTTACTTTTCTCTGTCCCAATTTTCTCCTTATTTATATATCCTACCATTCTCCTTGTAGCCCATTCCCAGGATGACTTCTGGTGCTCTGTAATAACGTGTGACCACGTAGGGTGTCATCATGAAGCTAGTGCCTGCAGTCCTGGCCAGTCCAAAATCCAGGATCTTCAACGTACAGTCTGATTTTACTACAATATTACTTGGTTTTAAATCCTGAAAGAGTCACAAGAGTGAGAAAGGAAAAGGTATTAGCCTTACACCCACAATATCATTGATTTTTGTCTATTGTGGGGGAAGAATGTGAAATGAAAGACCCAAGAGGGTCTACAGCTGACTGAAAATTATTCATTGGTGAACAAAAAAAGGTAATAGGTATTTTAGGGGTGGCCAAAAGTTTAATGACCACACAAAGACCTCATTTAACATTTTGAGGGGGGGCAACTGAGATAATCAATAATGGGCCAATTATGCAACAAAGTGGTTGTGTTTTTGTCATAACACCTTATTGGGACCGGGTAGAGGCTCAGGAAGATGACATTGATGGAAATGCAAGATCCATTATTTAGGCAAAAGGGGCTGAAACACTTCTTAAAATCTGAGAAATGAGACAATGTTTGGAAGCAGATCAGGGAGATGCCTTCCAGATTCACTGGAATATAAGAAAGGGGTGGAGGTAAAGCTCAATGAGATTTGCAAGATTCTGTTTCAGCCAATTTTTAAAATATAATTTTAGTTTTCCTGTGGAGTTAATTTCTTGATCTGGTCTCACAGACCAGGATTTTCTCTCAATGATTTTTAAGAGGACTTTTTGTGGGTTTTTCCCCCTTTTGTTCCTAAGACAAGAGAACTTTTTTGCATGTTTTCTATCAAATGGCAGAAAACCTTGCCACTATAGCAACTACAGTTAGATTTCAGGGATGCAAACAATGAATTTAAGCTTCCATGTGAACCACCCCTTGGGCTTTGAAATCTACATTGCTGTTCATTCTAGTGTGTCTGACTATGGATCAAAGTACAATAAAAGTTTGAGATGGGCATGCCCACAAATAATGAAGAAGGCACAGGAGGAGCATTCACAATTCTCTGTATTTCATTCTCGCAGGAAAATTGTTCTTACTTTTGTGGAGAGAGAGGCCAGCTTACCCTGTGAATGATTCCTGCAGAGTGAAGGTGCTTGATACCACACAGCATCTGATAGAGCAGGTAAGACATTCGCTCATGATCTAACTCCATTTGAATCACCTGACACAAATTGGCATCCATCAACTCCATTACTAAATAACTAAATAAAAGAACAAAGTCACATCATCATTCCTTGGCAACTGTGAGACGAGTCCAGTGTAGCATTCCATTCTACAGCTTCAGCCTTTCACAAATAACTGATAACAGCCATCAAACTTTGCTTCATATATTGCTTGACCTAAATTTATTTATTTGTATCCCGCCTTTATTATTTTTAGAAATAACTCAAGGCACCAAATATATCCAACACATCATCTTCCTCCTAGGTCTCCTATTGTCCTTATCATAACCCTGTGAGGTAACTTGGGCTGAAAGAGAGTGACTGGTCCAAAGTAACTCAGCTGGTTTCATGGCTGAGGCAGGACTAGAATTCACCATCTCTTGGTGACTGTCCCAAAGTCACCAAATCACCTTTCGTGACTAAGGCAGGACTAGAACTCATTGTCTCCAGCTAGCTTTCATGACTAAGGTGGAATGTGAGCTCATGGTCTTCTACTTTTGTAGTCTGGTGCCTTAATTACTAGACCAAACTAGCAAATTGCTTGTCCTCAGTCACCAAATCATAATGTATTTTACATCATACCTTATCAAGAGTGATTTATGACTTAGCATTACGCTTGAAAAACCTACTATAGTTTTTTTTAATAAACAATCATGAGTTAGCATAATATGTGAACCCAAACTCTGACTGGCAACATCTTTGTCACCTGCATTGTTTAAGTAGATATATCAAGGATTAATTTCTAAATTTTGACCTTATTTCTAATCCTAAATATAATTTTTTACTGCAATGTTTATTGTAACAAACCTATAATTTCCCTTTCCTTTTGCTTAGGTACATATGGAGTAGATTCACACATCTCATTAAATCTTTGAATGTATAAATTTATTATACTCGTTATCTTTTTTTTTATAAAGAAGAGTCTGAAATTTGGTAGATTTTAGAATAACTACCTACTCAAAATATTTGGGAGAGGAATTGATTGCCCAGCCAAGATTTGCCTTCTTTCATAAGACACAAAGTGAAGACAATAAATGAATGTATAGATTACTCAGATTTCATTCCAATCAGGATCTGATTATTTGCCAAGCAAGAGAAAATAATGCTTTATAGAAATATTAATATTTTTCTGTCAGATAATTTTAGAGCCATCAGTTATCATAACTAATGAAAGAAAGTGTTTCCTGTGTCATGGTTCCGAAAGAAGAAGTTTCTTTATTCTACTCTTCCTCTTTTAAAGTGAGATGACTTATGAATGAATTGCCAATTTTTTCAAAATCCTGCATATCTCAGGAAATTCAGAAGCCAGTGCCATCACAAAGCAATTAAATCAAATTCCTAGGAGCCGTGCCATATGTATGCGTCCTGTATTCATTCTTCTTCCTCACTCTCTGTAGCTCATTGTACATTTGCTCAGCTGTTTCTGTTAGGATTCTCAGTGGCTGTTTTCTATTTTTCTATTCCTACACCAAGGTGTAATTGATTTCTGAAACACCCAAAGTAATAGAAAGATAGAATCTGCAAAACTCAAGATTACCTTGAGCTTCTCCTTAAGCAGTTTCTAAGAAAGAGCAGCTTTTTACATTTTGTTATTCTTAGCTCTTAGTTTTCCCTGCAAGATACCAAAGCAATTTCTACCCTTCCCTCACAGCAAAGTTTCTCTCTTGGCTGCATTACTTACACATCTTGGAACTCCTCCAGAGATTTCTGTGGTGTAAAGACATTTAATAAACTGATAATCTGAAACACAACAAGAGACAAAAGGGAGACAAAAGAATAATTAAATATTAGTAGTTGAACAGGTTAACCCAGACTGCCTCACTGTTTCCAGTTTTCACTACCCTATGCAGTAAAAAGAAAGGGAAAAACTTTGTACAAAATTCAACAATGTTTTCTTCCTAGCTAAGAGTTCTGTGGCTACATTTTCAGCTTCACTGGAAGGACAGGTCGAATTTGCAAAACCATGAAACATCTCTGAAATTTTAAAGATGGATCAGAAGCTTAGAGGAAACAGAGAACTTTTGAGGAATGGCAGCTTGCCCATTAAAACAAAAGGACCATTGCTAAACTATTGACTTTTACTGCAGTTACTAATTTAGCTGCCACTGTAATTGGATTTTGCTGTTACTGCCACTTTTGAATTCCTATGTTTAGCTAGGTAGGATGTATTTAGAAAAATTGAAGGATGTACTCAACAAATGTAAATTTAAAGCCTAAATCTGCAGGGGTACTGTATTTTCCAGCATATAAGACGATTTTCTAGGCATGCAACTTGGCACCAAAGTTGGGGGTTGTCTTATACGCCGGGTCATACGCCAGAAAATATGGTATATCTTTCAATTTTGCTGTCAGCCAAATTTGTTGTTGGAGAGGTCTTAAAAGTTATCATTAGCAGCTGACATTAAAGATTGGATGCTATGGATATGTGACAATTTGTTTCTTCCACTGTCAAGTTAAATTTGGGGATGAGGTTGATAAAGTGCTAATAGTAGGCTGTACAACTATAGAGTGAAATTGAGAGTCAGGTACTTAAATGACACCACAAGCTCAAACTAGAGAATTTGACAGCAGTTCAGAAAATAAAATCCACAGAGTTATGTTTACTTTACTTTTGTTCTTCTTCCTTAAGACTGCTAATTTTGATATCCTGATTATATATATTCCTCCTTCTGTCCTGGTATTTAATTTCTATTTGAACTGGGCAGATGTTTAGTTGTGATTCTTTCAATTAATTGTTTACAGGGCTCCTGATTTAGGCTTTGGGACTAAGAGTTTATGGGCCATTTTCCAAACTGGACAAATTTAGTTTCATTAAAACTGATCCCCTCTCTCCTTTGGCAAATATTTTTAATGTGGCCATATGAAAATGGAATTTCTCTTCAATAATGTGTGAGTGTGCTACAATATTGTCATGTATTAATTTAGACATGTTAGTTATGTTTTGTTCTGTTGTTGCTGGTAGATAGAACCCTGAACGATGCTCACTGATTTTTCATAAGCCTTATTTTCTCATAGGGAGACTGGCAGCCTGTTGTTGTTGTTGTTGTTAGTTGTGAAGTCGTGTCCGACCCATCGCGACCCCATGGAGGACGTTCCTCCAGGCCTTCCTGTCCTCTACCATCTTCTGGAGTCCATTTAAGCTCACGCCTACTGCTTCAGTGACTCCATCCAGCCGCCTCATTCTCTGTCGTCCCCTTCTTCTATTGCCCTCAATCTTTCCCAGCATTAGGCTCTTCTCCAGTGAGTCCTTCCTTGTCACTAGGGAGCCAAAGTATCTGAGTTTCAGCTTCAGGATCTGGCCTTCTAAAGAGCAGTTAGGGTTGATCTCCTCTAGGACTGACAGGTTTGATTGCCTTGCAGTCCAGGGGACTCGCAGGAGTCTTCTCCAGCACCATAGTTCAAAGGCCTCAATTCTTTTGCACTCAGCCTTTCTTATGGTTACTGTTACTGAAGCAAAAAAGCACTTAAAAACCGAAAGGTTTTCAAGAAAGATTCCTCGTCCAGAAAAAAGGGAATGAGAGATAGAGGAGATATAATGACTAGAAAACCAAAAGGAATTATATAGAGCATTGAATGCTGAAACATAATTATTTCTCCAAGATGCCCAGGTCAAGACATCTGAAGTGGACCAAGAAGGCTATTGATGGACAAATCATCCTGCACCAATGACATCCATGAAAGATGGATTTGGGGGTGAGGAGTGGGAGAGAGAGAGAAAATTCTGCCAGAGAGAGAAAGCCACAAGTATGGATAGCCCATTACTTATCCCTAAGAAGGAAGGGAATTTAAACACAGAAACAGCCATGAATTTATATTTAGTCAACACTGTAGGCTGCATGCCTATGGAGTAGAAAAGTATGAAATTTTAAAATGCTTAGCCTAGCCAGAATTAAACCTTTAGTTCCGGTTGAAAGAAGAAATATCGAGGAAAGAAATTTGACCTATCTAGCTATAAATAAATCTCAATTCCAGTGCTTGCATACCAAAATGGAAATGAAAAAAAACTTGCTTTTCGATGCTAATACATAGGGAAAAAAATGTAAGCGGTGTCGTCTACGCTTGGATTAAAACCCACAAAGCCACAAATGCATATGACAAACCTCTTTTTCTAGAATGCTCTAGAACAGAGTGCTGTTTGGACCTTCCAACAGCAGGTTGTCCTAACTGGCAACTTCCCTAGTCAAAGAGGTGAAGAACAGAAGCTGAATCGAAAGGAATCACATTTCATATTTGAGGCAGGTAAAGTTTACTTTCAAAATCCGAATTCAATCTGATAAATTGGATTTTGAATGGTAACATTTACAATTGCTTAGGATGATGGATGTTCAATACGTTTTTTTTCCTGTATGCTGTATCTTGGGCCAGTAATTTTACACCTTGCCACAATGAAAATAGCAATATGGCCCAAGAACCAGAAAAGTATTAGGGATATTCATGCTTTAAAAACAATTTGGAAGAACAACTTTGGACCTTATGCAAGCATAGCATCTCTCTGCAGTTTATGAAGACAGGAACATCTTTTTTCTATGAACTGAAGAGTGCCTTAAAGATGTGATGAATTCTTCCTCAAAAAGAAAAAAGGATTTGCCAACATTAATGTAGATAAGTACTCTGTTCACGTGTACACAGGGTTTGAAACATTTCTTCCAAATGGTTTTCCAATTACGCAGGGCCCTAAAACTGCTTCTTGACACTAGCTTGATAGAACCTAGAACATGGATTAATAGGGTTAGAAGGGGCCTTGGAGGTCTTCTAGTCCAACATCCTGCTCTAGCTGAAGACCCTATATCATTCCGGACAAATGACTGTCCAGTTTCTTCTTGATAACCTCTAGTGATGGAGCACAACTTCCGAAGGTAAGATACCCTGATTAATTGTCCCCACTGTCAGAAAATTTCTCCTTAGTTCTAAGCTGAATCTCTCTTTAGTGATCTTCCACCTGTGACTTCTTGTCCTGTCCTCAGGAAGTGTGGACACTAGGTTGTCTTCCTCTTCTTTATGACAGCCTTCAAGGACTGAAAGACACCCCTATCCCTTCTCTTTGTCAGACTAGACATACCTGGTTCCCCGAGTCATTCATTGCTTTTGAATTTTGTAAAGGAAAGAGTTAAGGAGAATGGTTCAAATATTTTGCGACCTAATTGAAGACAGGATGTATCTCACAGCTGTTTTACTTCTCATGAATAACTTTTGCCCTTAGTATTGATCCTGATTCTATTCAGTTGCTCTCCCTAGGAAGAAAGCAAGGGCAAACCACTTTCGAAAACATTGCCCAGAAAACTGCAGGGACTAATTCAGGCAATCACCAGGAATCAACATACGTTTTTCACTCTTCTCTAGAGAACTTCCATTAACTTTAAAGGGGAAAGAATCTCCATAAGGAAAGCATAATCGAATGTGCTGCTCCATGGCTGTACTATAATACATTTTCTTCTTGCCACAAATAAAGTATGTTTGTGTGGTGCCCTTTCCCAGACATCTGCTTTGGGAAGGGAATAAAGCATCTGTGATCACATCTGCATTTCAGCATTCTATCCAAATCTACGTGTTTGTTAACAGAATATTTTTTAAAAATTGCCATTTGCTGGCACACACGCCCTATCGGATTTTGCATTTAAAATAATGAAGGTTATACAGTCAACTTTGCAGCAACATGTTAGCATAATCTTTTTCACTTAGCAATGTGAACTATACAGGCTTCCGAGTCCTTTCAGCAAAGGAATACTTACATTTTTGTGATTCACACACTTCATAAGAACTAGCTCCCTATATGCCCGCTTAGCATGTGTCTGATTTTGAAATGGCCTGCTGAGCTTCTTGATAGCCACATTTCTGTCCAGTACAGCATCATACGCAGCACTAAAATATAAAAGGAAAAGAAAATGACAATAGAAGAACCTATTAATTTGTAGCATTCCCATTCAAATATCATTGCCTGAGTTTTATTCACTTCCAATGTTTTTTTTCAAAAGAAAAGAAATAGAATTTTGCATTTCTTCAATAGTTCTACTTTCCTTCCAAGACTTATCCCAATTTGTTTGAATAAATATGCATCAATACAGCTTAGAAAAATACACCTAGTGACTACAATTGAGACTGGCAACTCAGTTGTTAAGCCAAGCTAAGTGAAAAGAGGTGCTAGGTGGGCAGAAGCTATAGCGAGTGATGGGAACTCACCCTGCCCACACAGTGCTAGGACTCGAACCACTGGAGCAAAAACTATCTCCAGCACATTAAGTTCAGTTTGCTCCAGTGCTTCGAGTCCTAGCACTCTGTGGCAGGGTGAGCTCCCATCACTCACCTCAGCTTCTGCCCACCTAGCAGTTTGAAAGCATGTTATGTGCAAGTAGATAAATAGATACCACTTCAGTGGAGAGATGAGTTGGTGTTTTATGCAGCCAGTCAGATTCCTGCTGGCTCTGAACCTTCCTGGTTGCAACTCCCATTTGTGAGGCGGCTCTGAGGGAAAGAAAGGGGCCTTGGATGACACTGCATGAAGAGCCAGTCATCTTTCTTTCTGGTGCAGGGGTAGGCAACCTTGGCTCTTTTATGACTCGTGGACTTCAACTCCCAGAATTCCTCAGCCAGGCTACCCCTGTTCTGTGAGAATCTAGCTCACCCTCTTGTGGGACATCTTGAGAAGCACACAAGCTTCTGTCAAGCTTCTCTGACAGAGCTGGTAAACAGACAGCCAAACTACTACTCTACAATAGCACTGTAGTCTCCTGGCTAATGTAACAATGCCATATGCTAATAATAATAAGCGAAAAACCATATGACCCACACCATGCATACACTTTTATTTCAGCTATCATTTATTTTACTGCATCAGAAGTCTGAAACTTGAAAGAACTAGGTGAGTCCAAACAGCAAGTCAGATTTCTGAAACTCAGCTAAAGAGGAAGCTAGGTACTTGCCTGCCTTTTTGAATGCTTACCTTGGCAGTGGGATGATTACAAAAAAGAGAATTGATGTTTGTATTTATAGTGTTTGGAGAGATGTACATTGATTGACAGAGGTTGTGAAGGACATAAGTTACTTTTTCATCACTGTCATAACTGTGAACAGACACTGTCCAAGGCAATCACTAAATGAGGACTACCTGCATGCTTGGTAATTATTTATCCTTTCCATTAATTGAATTTAATTTATTCCAATGTAATTTAATTTATAATGTATATAGTCTCACTGACCCATATTCTCATCTATATTAATCTACAATGAATTGTGTGCTTGGCCAAACTCTGATCTGAACTGGATTCATTCTTGGAATAAAGAATATAATCTTTCTCTACTCACTCCTCCCAACCTATAAAAGGAATTCATTCTTTTATTCTGGGAATTGAAGTCTGATAAAATTAGTGGGCAATAGATCAGGAAAGGCTGCTGAGCATTCCTAACAGCAATACTGTTTCAGTGCAATTTATAAAGAGACTTCTAAGAGGGACCAAGAAATAAACATATTTTTTTAGAAAATGTCTTATTTATTTGACTTGTTTGCAGTTCACTCGCCTAGAGGCTACTCTTATTAATATTAATAATACTCTTAATCTACTAATTAATACGATTAGGGTACTATTATAAAACTAATAACCAAAACTAAAATGCCTCTTCCTTTGATGTTATTTCTAATTTCATCTAATAATAGTATCACTGGGTTAGACTTCTTTTGCATAGTTTCAGGAAATGCATGGATAAACCTGAAATTTCATGTTTAAAAAATGGAATGCTGGGTCTATACAGTAGTAATTTCAGAACATTGACCCTCCACCATCACCAAATAATAATAACAGAATGAGGATAAAGACTTATTTATCTAGAAAGATTTACTTAACTAGAAAATTACAGCTGGTTGATTTATTTCTTACCTTTTCACAGAAGATATAATGTTGAAAAAAGCATATCATCTATGTTTAATAATTTATTTATGGGGGAGAGCGAGAGAGAAATAAGAATTCCCAGTTCTATTTATTAAAGGGAAGTGCCATTCAGAAAGAGAGACTGTAAGAAACTTATGTCTCCATCCCCAGCTTGTAAGATAGTAGACTGGTAGACACTTTAATCTATATTTCAGAGGTATAATCACCATACATTTCAGCAGCACAATAATCTGCTATTGTTAGCGACTTTTAACCTCAATTCTCACAGGAGATATTCAAGCTTTTCTTTTCTCCTTGGAAAAGGAGAGGCTCATTTTTCCAGAATTCCCTTTAGTCTCCTTAGAACTGTGACAATATAAAGGTTCAATAATTTGGCAGGGAAAGAAAAAGCCTCTAGAGAGTCTAGCACTTATTGGCTCGCTTGTTCTGTTAATGTGTGGCTAACATTCTTCATGAATGTTGCATCTGACGCACAAGAAATAAGGGTAAACAAGACCCTCCACATGGCCCTCTCCTCATATCAGCTTGTTTCAATCAAAAGCAGCTATGCCAAAGGCTGGGAACTGCAGATCAACAACAAGCAGCATAGGCAGACTGGATTCTCTGACCTTTTCTATCAAATTGAATATTTCAATCATGGAGAACATCATAATTTCAAGCAAAGGTTGCAGCCATGTTCCCAGATAGATATCACTTAAAGATGCATAATACAGTGCTCTGAGCTTACATAAATCAAATGTAATATAGCTGTAGCACATCTCTCCACCTGCCATTCATTTCCAGTTGTAATGAAAAAAAAACTTATTAATTCAGCAATGGAGCAAAGATTTTATTTGTTCATCCTCATGGCCACATTTTTTTAAAGCAGGAAAAGCTAAAAGAAAAATATATGCCATCAATAAGCAAAGAATCAAGTTCTTCTTTCTGTGTCAAATATATTTTCAAGGTCAAAATAGTTTCAGTAGTAACAATTCCATGGGGTTCATTCTTACATAGAAGCACCCTATTTATTAACCTAATGCATAGGAAACAGGGTGCTACAAGTCTTATTCTCCAATCCCCCCAACAGCTTATCTTCTAGTAATTTACTGACAGAAAATACTGCCTTATATTAGCTTAGGCTAGTTTTGTTTCTTTTGCCAGAATTAAAGACAAAAGTCTTTGCGTTATCTATGTCAGGCTCAAGGAAGTCAGGCTAAAGAATGACAGGAAGAGTTACTTCAGCAAATTATTTTCTTTATTGCTGCTCACTTATATACAGGAATCTTGCCAGGCTAAAGCACAAATCTGCATAGCTATTAGATATACCTGTGAAAGGCTAGGGAAGGTCTGCCTTGTCTCTCTTCCTGCACACCAAGTTTCCAAGCTGATTTGCCTCTTTGGGTGGTTAAGAAGTATGATAGATAGATAGATAGATAGATAGATAGATAGATAGATGGATGGATGGATGGATGGATGGATGGATGGATGGATGGATGGATGGATAGATAGATAGATGGATAACAGTGGTACCTCAGTACTCATTGGTAATTTGTTCTGGAAGATGTGACAAATATTAAAACCAACAGGTACCGTGAAAACCACATGATATTTGGCCAGAAGAAATAGAGTGGCACAAACAGCTGACATCAGCAAGTTCTTCCTTGTGTGTCCACTACCAGAAGAAAGTTGAGTGCTGGGATAAGATTTCTGCTTCAAAACCTGTCAAATACCGAATTCGATGGGTTTTAAGCAATCGAATGTCGAGGTAGGACTGTGCTATGTTCCACCACAATTTGCTACTGTTTCTTTTCACTGGAAATGCTAGGGGACCATCAACTTTCTGGCTTCAGAGCCAGTGCTCTGTCATGAACATGACCTCTTCCTCCCCACACAAACATATTCACATACACTATAAAACAAGAAAGTAAATTTAAGCAATCGAAAAGCACTCGGCTGCAAGTAGGTAAACCACTGACAGACTTAAGACTGGAGTGTTCCTGCACAGCTCACTTTTGGCTGCTAGCATTACTTCTTTTTCGACCTCTTGACTCTTTCTCGCTGATTTATGTTGGTTCTGCTGCAGTTGGTGTGAAAGCTATCAGGGAAATCTTCTGCCCAACACCCTCAGATGCCTGCTGTGTAACGACATGTCTTAAAGCAAGTATCAGAAATCAAATGACAATGGCAATAGAAAATCAGTAGGGACCCATAATGAAAACTGGCATCTCCTGCTGGCAACTTATTCTCCCTCCTAGCATTCAGATAGAAATGCACATAAACATGCCTTAATTTTAGAGATTATTTTTTTGTCTGATTCTTTCCTCTTCAGACCATCTGTTAGATTGTGTTGATAGTCTAATTTAGCAAATATTTTTAATACCAAAATTCAGAAGATAAATTCATGAAGGCAGCCATTCAAAGTTACAATGGAACTGAAAAAAGTGATTTATGACTAGTCCTCACATTTACCACCATTGCAGCATCCCCATGGTTACATGACTAAAATCTGGGTGCTGGGGAACCAGCATGTATTTACGACAGATGCAGAATCCTGGAGTCACGTGGTCACCATTTGCGACCTTTCCAGTCAGTTTCCAACAAGCAAAGTCAATGGAGGAAGCTGAATTTGCTTAACGGCCCTTTGATTCACTTAAGTGCAGTGATGCATTTAACAACCATAGCAAAAAGGTTGTAAAATTAGTCACAACTCACTTAACAACTGTCTAGCTTAGTAATGGAAATTCCTGTCCTAATTGTGGTTGTAAGTCGAGGATTGCCTGTACAGGAAGTATAAAAAGCTTTGTGAAGCTAACTATAAAAAGGACTTGTCCACAAAAAAAATCACAGTTAGCCTGGCCGTAATTTAGATAGAATCCAATACATATCTGAATTCAGTGGAACTTCCTCTTGAGAAGGCAAAGCTAGGTTTACCAATCCAGAATTACAGAACATCAAACAGATGAAGATTTTTAAAAATGGGGAAAAAGAGAAGCCGGC